TGAACAACCACATTTCCACAGCAGCATCAAAGAAATTAAAGATCATCGTCTCTGAATTTCTGTCACCTGAATGAAGCCTCAACTGAACACCAGGTTAGTTTCCTGCTTAATTGGGTCTGAAGACTATCGACCCCCGTGGACTGTTATTTCTGTTTGTCTCCTGTTGGTTTAGAAAGACATGTCAGCAAGCACCAGGACATATTAGAAAACGTTTCGGTCCTGGAACCGAAAATATATCCTAGTGTTTGCTCACGTGTCATTCTAAAGCAATTTGTGGGTATATGTTACCAAGGTTTATACCAGGTTACCCGCTCAGCACGACCTGAAAATACTTTTTTCCCAAATACGGGCGTACAAGCGGGCCACCTAATACAGCAGGCTAATGATTGAAAGTTAAAATCGCTGTAAAGTGAAATATTTTTCACTTTCAAATTTATAAAAAAGCCTGATAGCATGTTTACATTATCATATATAAAGTGTGCAATAGAGCTAGGCCTAAAAAAATGCATATACACTACACACATTACTTAAAATATTTCCATCCTTAGCTTATAGTGAGTAGTGAATATATATATATATATATATATATATATATATATATATATATATATATATATATATATATATATTGTAGGAAAACCACCTTATTAGCGAAACGCCGCCAAGAGAAGCGCTGTAAAGCGGGGGCTGAATGTAGAGGGATTAAAGTGAACTTTGAGAGTATATAAACTAAGATGTATATACCCCCAATTCTACATATCTTATCCCTTCAAGAGACCCATACTCTTTAGAATATAAATAAATTGACCCCCATTATATCTGTTTACATGGTCACAGGCCTGGTCACAGACCGGGCCGCGGGGGCGTTGACCCCCGGAACTCTCTCCAGGTAAACTCCAGGTAAACTGATGTAGTTAATGAATGGGTATAAAAACTTTTAGTAAAAATGAAAGTTCGGCAAGAAGAGCGTTGCTATTTAAGGAAAAATCGCAAGTATATATATATATATATATATATATATATATATATATATATATATATATATATATATATATATATATATATTTATATATATATAGTAGGTTGGTAGACAGCAACCACCCAGGGAGGTACTACCGTCCTGCCAAGTGAGTGTAAAACGAAGCCTGTGATTGTTTTACATGATGGTAGGATTGCTGATGTCTTTTGTCTGTCTCATAAATATGCAAGATTACAGGCATGTCTTGCTACTTCTACTTACACTTAGGTCACACTACACATACATGTACACATTTATTTATACACACTCATCTGAGTTTTCTTTGATTTTATCTTAATAGTTCTTGGTCTTATTAATTTTCCTTTTATATCCATGGGGAAGTGGAATAAGAATCTTTCCTCCGTAAGCCATGCGTGTTGTAAAAGTCAACTAAAATGCCGGGAACAATGGGCTAGTAACCCCTTTTCCTGTAAAGATTACTAAAAAGAATAAGAAGAAGAAAATTGTCAAAGTGGGAAGTCTGAATGTGCGTGGATGTTGTGCAGATGATAAGAAAGAGATGATTGTGGATGTTATGAATGAGAAGAAGCTGGATGTCCTGGCTTTAAGTGAAACAAAGCTGAAGGGGGTGGGAGAGTTTCAGTGGAGAGGAATAAATGGGATTAGGTCAGGGGTTTCAAATAGAGTTAGAGCTAAAGAAGGAGTAGCAATAATGTTGAAGGATAAGCTATGGCAGGAAAAGAGGGACTATAAATGTATTAATTCAAGGATTATGTGGAGTAAAATAAAGATTGGATGTGAAAAGTGGGTTATAATAAGCGTGTATGCACCTGGAGAAGAGAGAAGTGTAGAGGAGAGAGAGAGATTTTGGGAAATGTTGAGTGAATGCGTGGGGAGTTTTGAATCAAGTGTGAGAGTAATGGTGGTTGGGGATTTTAATGCTAAAGTGGGTAAAAATGTTATGAGAGGAGTAGTAGGTAAATTTGGGGTGCCAGGGGTAAATGTAAATGGGGAGCCTTTAATTGAGCTATGTGTAGAAAGAAATTTGGTAATAAGTAATACATATTTTATGAAAAAGAGATTAAATAAATATACAAGGTATGATGTAGCACGTAATGAAAGTAGTTTATTAGATTATGTATTGGTGGATAAAAGGTTGATGGGTAGGCTCCAGGATGTACATGTTTATAGAGGGGCAACTGATATATCGGATCATTATTTAGTTGTAGCTACAGTTAGAGTAAGAGGTAGATGGGAAAACAGGAAGGTGGCAACAACAAGTAAGAGGGAGGTGAAAGTGTATAAACTAAGGGAGGAGGAAGTTCGGGTGAGATATAAGCGACTATTGGCAGAAAGGTGGGCTAGTGCAAAGATGAGTAGTGGGGGGGTTGAAGAGGGTTGGAATAGTTTTAAAAATGCAGTATTAGAATGTGGGGCAGAAGTTTGTGGTTATAGGAGGGTGGGGGCAGGAGGAAAGAGGAGTGATTGGTGGAATGATGAAGTAAAGGGTGTGATAAAAGAAAAAGGTAGCTTATGAGAGGTTTTTACAAAGCAGAAGTGTTATAAGAAGAGCAGAGTATATGGAGAGTAAAAGAAAGGTAAAGAGAGTGGTGAGAGAGTGCAAAAGGAGAGCAGATGATAGAGTGGGAGAGGCACTGTCAAGAAATTTTAATGAAAATAAGAAAAAATTTTGGAGTGAGTTAAACAAGTTAAGAAAGCCTAGGGAAAATATGGATTTGTCATTTAAAAACAGAGTAGGGGAGTTAGTAGATGGGGAGATGGAGGTATTGGGTAGATGGCGAGAATATTTTAAGGAACTTTTAAATGTTAAGGAAGAAACAGAGGCAGTAATTTCATGCACTGGTCAGGGAGGTATACCATCTTTTAGGAGTGAAGAAGAGCAGAATGTAAGTGTGGGGGAGGTACGTGAGGCATTACGTAAAATGAAAGGGAGTAAAGCAGCTGGAACTGATGGGATCATGATAGAAATGTTAAAAGCAGGGGGGGATATAGTGTTGGAGTGGTTGGTACTTTTGTTTAATAAATGTATGAAAGAGGGGAAGGTACCTAGGGATTGGCAGAGAGCATGTATAGTCCCTTTATATAAAGGGAAAGGGGACAAAAGAGACTGTAAAAATTATAGAGGAATAAGCTTACTGAGTATACCAGGAAAAGTGTACGGTAGGGTTATAATTGAAAGAATTAGAGGTAAGACAGAATGTAGGATTGCGGATGAGCAAGGAGGTTTTAGAGTGGGTAGGGGATGTGTAGATCAGGTGTTTACATTGAAGCATATATGTGAACAGTATTTAGATAAAGATAGGGAAGTTTTTATTGCATTTATGGATTTAGAAAAGGCATATGATAGAGTGGATAGAGGAGCAATGTGGCAGATGTTGCAAGTATATGGAATAGGTGGTAAGTTATTAAATGCTGTAAAGAGTTTTTATGAGGATAGTGAGGCTCAGGTTAGGGTGTGTAGAAGAGAGGGAGACTACTTCCCGGTAAAAGTAGGTCTTAGACAGGGATGTGTAATGTCACCATGGTTGTTTAATATATTTATAGATGGGGTTGTAAAGGAAGTAAATGCTAGGGTGTTTGGGAGAGGGGTGGGATTAAATTATGGGGAATCAAATTCAAAATGGGAATTGACACAGTTACTTTTTGCTGATGATACTGTGCTTATGGAGATTCTAAAGAAAAATTGCAAAGGTTAGTGGATGAGTTTGGGAATGTGTGTAAAGGTAGAAAGTTGAAAGTGAACATAGAAAAGAGTAAGGTGATGAGGGTGTCAAATGATTTAGATAAGAAAAATTGGATATCAAATTGGGGAGGAGGAGTATGGAAGAAGTGAATGTTTTCAGATACTTGGGAGTTGACGTGTCGGCGGATGGATTTATGAAGGATGAGGTTAATCATAGAATTGATGAGGGAAAAAAGGTGAGTGGTGCGTTGAGGTATATGTGGAGTCAAAAAACGTTATCTATGGAGGCAAAGAAGGGAATGTATGAAAGTATAGTAGTACCAACACTCTTATATGGGTGTGAAGCTTGGGTGGTAAATGCAGCAGCGAGGAGACGGTTGGAGGCAGCGGAGATGTCCTGTTTAAGGGCAATGTGTGGTGTAAATATTATGCAGAAAATTCGGAGTGTGGAAATTAGGAGAAGGTGTGGAGTTAATAAAAGTATTAGTCAGAGGGCAGAAGAGGGGTTGTTGAGGTGGTTTGGTCATTTAGAGAGAATGGATCACAGTAGAATGACATGGAAAGCATATAAATCTATAGGGGAAGGCAGGCGGGGTAGGGGTCGTCCTCGAAAGGGTTGGAGAGAGGGGGTAAAGGAGGTTTTGTGGGTAAGGGGCTTGGACTTCCAGCAAGCGTGCGTGAGCGTGTTAGATAGGAGTGAATGGAGACGAATGGTACTTGGGACCTGACGATCTGTTGGAGTGTGAGCAGGGTAATATTTAGTGAAGGGATTCAGGGAAACCGGTTATTTTCATATAGTCGGACTTGAGTCCTGGAAATGGGAAGTACAATGCCTGCACTTTAAAGGAGGGGTTTGGGATATTGGCAGTTTGGAGGGATATGTTGTGTATCTTTATATGTTTATGCTTCTAGACTGTTGTATTCTGAGCACCTCTGCAAAAACAGTGATAATGTGCGAGTGTGGTGAAAGTGTTGAATGATGATGAAAGTATTTTCTTTTTGGGGATTTTCTTTCTTTTTTGGGTCACCCTGGAGTCACTCAAGCCTGGAAACACTCAAGCCTGGAGTCACTCAAATCTGGAATCAACTCAAGCCTGGAGACAGGTCTTTTGACCATCCGCCAAAACAAACAAAGGGGTTCAGTTAGAACAAAGTAAGGGGTTCAGTTAGAACAAAGTAAGGGGTTCAGTTAGGTTCAGTGACTAATAGTGAAAACAGTGAGTATATTTTGCTCACTTTATGCCTTGTTATATATGACCATTAATAATATAGGTTAAGAAGTCTCAGACATAACTATATTATATATTTACACATGTTTCTACGTATACATTTTACATTATACATAATGCACACTGGGGACATAAATATATCTAATCACGATGAAATATGACACGAATAAATAAGAGAATGAATCTTATCGGATAGGAATGAAGTGTTTAAGAAAGACGAACTCTCTCTTATGTTACAGGATGTTTAGAGTCTTTTAGGTGACAGGCTGATCGGAGTCTTTGAGGTGACAAGCTGGTCGCTTCACTTTACACTCTGGCTTCTGCTCCCGTCCGCTCGCTTGCGGATCATCGGGACGAATACCAGCGTATACAAGTTTAATATACAGAGTTAATATCTCACGGCTCTGGGAGACAAGCTAAATCTTCCCAGCTATATATATGCACTGCAGCTTTCACAAGCGTACCAAAGCTTTAGTCAGTCAAACCCGTCAAACTTTCAGCGGCCCCTGAAAATGGAGCAACACCTGTCTTGAAACTCCTTTGCCTTACTGAACGCTCTCTATTCCCACCCTAGGTAGGTGTGGGGATTTTTAGGCTCTGATGGGCTAGCAGCTAGTGATCGTCCGGCGGGGGCGATGGTCTCCGAACACTAACGCTTATGGAGGACGGGAGAAATGACAAGGATGGATGATGCTGGATAACTTCGGATTCCCGGCTTGTGGGAGTATCGTTTGACATGGACAGGGAGGCTACTGAAGAATCAAGAATGGTCTGCGAAGTTGGCGTCAAGGCGGCTGTAGAGAGAGACATCGCCTCCCTGGACACCAGAGACTCGGAGGCATTTTGTGCACGCTCTTGCGTTATGGGGGGCGGGTCTGAGGGTTCTGAAAGTGAAAGAAGAGATGCAATAGAGAAAGTTGAGGGTCGAGGCCGCTTTGGAGGTGGTGTGGTCGGGCTCTTCGGCGAGGAGGCCGTGGGCGTGGGTGTGGGCGGCTCTTGCGAGGATGAAGAGTCTCGACCCGGGTGGTCTTCGTATTCCCGTGTGTCTTCAGAGTCGGAACAATCGCCTACCACATCGATCTCAGGTTCAGGTTTTTGTTGGTTCTCGTACTCGCGACGCAGCTGCTCCAGAGTCACATGGACTCCCTTGAGGGCCAGTTTGCGCTGCTGCCGTTCCAGTTGCTTCAGAATTTTCTTCTCCCGGCGAAGTCGATCCCGGCGCTCCAGTTCCTCTGGAGGGATAGGCTCTCCAGAGCAGGTTTGTGGATGGGCGTTGTGGGCCGGGCGACCCGGACCCTTCCTCGTTTGTTCTTTCTTTCGCCACTTCGCCCGTCGGTTTTGGAACCACACCTGAAAGACAGAAACACAAGATGAGTAATCCGAAATGTGGACATCCTGTTGCTCCCAACCACATATAACACACACACCAGTTTTCCTCGGCTAATTCGTAAATACTGTATTTACTCATCTAGAGTAATCAATTTTCTTGTGAAAAGAGAGTTGTCATGTCTCTCGGAGGTTGACAGTCAGGGACACCTGTCATTACCATTCGGCCCCCCACACACCTCCATCACAGTCATGCACTTATAGGCCCGACCACGCACAACCTAATCGCATCTACCGCGAGAACCGGGAGTCTCGAAGTCAATACTCGCGCCATAATATCGAGCGTAAAAATTCAATTTGTGTCACCTTCCCGACGAATGCGGACTGCGTGCGGTAATGGCGGCTCCGTCTACCTTGATAATAGATATCAGCCCCTCTCCCTCCCTCTCCCCTAGACCAAACAGCACACCACAGACTATTCTCCTCCCTATCCCGCCATCGAATAGAGTCCGTATTCCTCCCCACCCATGTTGCACGATTTCCAGAGCGTGATTCGCAATTCCGTACCTTGCGTAGCCCCGCCGTACAGGCCACGACGGCCACATTTGGGAGAAGCACAGCGGTCGCACGCCATCCTAACATGTCGTGTATATCAAGTCGATTTATTAATACCCTGAAAACAAGCATTTCTGTGTCACCCGCTGTAGTTGCAACGTTTCGCTCGTTCCTACAGTAATTGGACGCCGAGAACGCTGCAACAAGACTATCCAACAGAATTCGTTTTGCCAGCGGTGTTGTGAAAAAATATTTCAATGCTGGACCAAACGAGAAATTTATATAAATGAAAAAAAGATAGAGGAATAAAAAACGGGAACAAACGGCAAATTAAGTAATTTTCCGAATCGAAGAAGCTTGGAGGGGGAGCATGGCGGAAGGGGGAATTAGGGGAGGGATGGAGGGAAGAAGTGATGGAGGAGAGGGAAGGAATGGAAGGAAAAGGGATGGAGGGGTGAATGAGAGACGGAAAAAAGATTGTGAAGGGTGGTAGGGAATTATGAAGGGGGGGGGATAAAATAAGGAAGAAGGAAGGAGTAATAAGGGGTTGAGAGGAAAGGAGAGGGAGAAGGATGGAAAAGGAGGGAAGGAAAACTGAGGAGGATAGAGGAGAAGGAGGATTTGACGGAGGCTGAGGGTAGAGAGAGAGAGAGAGGGGGGGATGAGAGGAAAAGGAAGAAGGGCAGAAAAAAGGTAAAGAAAAATAGCGGGAAATTATTATTATTATTATTATTATTATTATTATTATTATTATTATTATTATTATTATTATTATTATTAAAATTATTAAAATTATGAAGCGCTAAGCCCGAAGAAGTTATACAGTGGCTGTGGAATAAAATGGAAGCTGGTTTGATCCAATGAAGAGGAGAGATTTTTCCAGTTCCTTGGAACAAGAGCTTTTCAGCAGCATTAAGACAACATCCTCTTCTTTGTAGGAAGGTGTGAGTGTTGTGTGATAGTGAATGTGCAACATGTCTTTCCTCCCTCCCCTTCCTCGGATCAAACCTGATTGCCTCTCAGTCCCCAGGAGCTGTTCGACCACTGCGGGTTTAGTGCTTCTACCTGCACGAGCAATCCGGGTTGGGTCAACCCAACTTACTTCAATCTAACCTAACCTAACCTAATGTAACCTAACTTTGCCTAACTTAACCTGACCTAACTAAACCTAAAATGAAAAAAAAATTTTTTTTTTTGGTACAATTTGCTTTTCAAAGAAAAAGTTACTTTCAAAACTCACTTAACATTGTAGTGAACACTGCAAAACCCACTTAACATTGTAGTGAACACTGCAAAACCCACTTAACATTGTAGTGAACATTGCAAAACCCACTTAACATTGTAGTGAACATTGCAAACCCCACTTAACATTGTAGTGAACATTGCAAAACCCACTTAACATTGTAGTGAACATTGCAAAACCCACTTAACATTGTAGTGAACATTGCAAAACTCACTTAACATTGTAGTGAACATTGCAAAACCCACTTAACATTGTAGTGAACATTGCAAAACCCACGTAACATTGTAGTGAACATTGCAAAACCCACGTAACATTGTAGTGAACATTGCAAAACCCACTTAACATTGTAGTGAACATTGCAAAACCCACGTAACATTGTAGTGAACATTGCAAAACCCACTTAACATTGTAGTGAACATTGCAAAACCCACTTAACATTGTAGTGAACATTGCAAAACTCACTTAACATTGTAGTGAACATTGCAAAACCCACTTAACATTGTAGTGAACATTGCAAAACCCACTTAACATTGTAGTGAACATTGCAAAACCCACTTAACATTGTAGTGAACATTGCAAATTGTTAATTATTACTCACCTGTGCGTGCAACTCAAGCAAATATTAACCTAAGGTCACAAATCGTTCGTGTCATATACATGTCATTTACTTTTAGTTTTTTTATTATAACAATAATTCAAAATTATTGATATTCATTGTTTACATTCATTATCTTGACTGTCATATGTTTAGATCATTTTTATATAGTCACTTACTATGAAAATTGTCTTTAAGAATCCTCAGTTACCTTTATAATGAGTCTAAATATAAAATATTTTTCCCGCGTCAAGAAACACTTGTCCTGTTACCTGACAAACCTAACCTGACCTGACCTGACCTGACCTGACCTGACCTGACCTGACCTAACCTGACCTGACCTGACCTGACCTGACCTGACCTAACCTGACCTGACCTAACCTAACCTAACCTAACCTAACCTGACCTGACCTGACCTGACCTGACCGAACCTAACCTGACCTGACCTGACCTGACCTGACCTGACCTAACCTAACCTGACCTGACCTAACCTGACCTGACCTGACCTAACCTGACCTAACCTGACCTAACCTGACCTAACCTAACCTAACCTAACCTGACCTAACCTAACCTAACCTAACCTGACCTAACCTGACCTAACCTAACCTGACCTAACCTAACCTGACCTGACCTAACCTAACCTAACCTAACCTGACCTAACCTGACCTAACCTGACCTAACCTGACCTAACCTAACCTAACCTAACCTGACCTAACCTAACCTAACCTAACCTAACCTAACCTAACCTAACCTGACCTCACCTGACCTAACCTGACCTAACCTAACCTAACCTAACCTGACCTAACCTGACCTAACCTAACCTAACCTAACCTAACCTGACCTAACCTGACATAACCTGACCTAACCTAACCTAACCTAACCTAACCTAACCTAACCTAACCTAACCTAACCTGACCTAACCTGACCTCACCTGACCTAACCTGACCTAACCTAACCTAACCTAACGTAACCTAACCTTACCATACTTAACCTAACCTAACCTAACCTAACCTAACCTAACCTTACCTTACCTTACCTTACTTAACCTAACCTAACCTAACCTAACCTAACCTAACCTTACCTTACCTTACCTTACCTTACCTAACCTAACCTTACCTTACCTAACCTAACCTAACCTAACCTTACCTTACCTTACTTAGCCTAACCTAACCTAAATTACCTTACCTAACCTAAAATTACCTTACCTAACCTATAATTACCTTACCTAACCTAACCTTACCTTACCTAACCTTACTTAACCTAACCTAACCTAACCTAACATTTCCCCTTTGTGAGCTTTTGTTAAATTTTAGTGAAGATCTACCCAAAGCGAAACGTTGTACCGATACAACGGTTTGTGTTGTGCATTGTGATGTGTTGTTACTGTGACCACTGGAGCATTACTGGAAGGGTTCGGAAGAACCGGTTAGCCGGATTACTGGAAGGGTTCGGAAGAACCGGTTAGCCGGATTACTGGAAGGGTTCGGAAGAACCGGTTAGCCGGATTACTGGAAGGGTTCGGAAGAACCGGTTAGCCGGATTACTGGAAGGGTTCGGAAGAACCGGTTAGCCGGATTACTGGAAGGGTTCGGAAGAACCGGTTAGCCGGATTACTGGAAGGGTTCGGAAGAACCGGTTAGCCGGATTACTGGAAGGGTTCGGAAGAACCGGTTAGCCGGATTACTGGAAGGGTTCGGAAGAACCGGTTAGCCGGATTACTGGAAGGGTTCGGAAGAACCGGTTAGCCGGATTACTGGAAGGGTTCGGAAGAACCGGTTAGCCGGATTACTGGAAGGGTTCGGAAGAACCGGTTAGCCGGATTACTGGAAGGGTTCGGAAGAACCGGTTAGCCGGATTACTGGAAGGGTTCGGAAGAACCGGTTAGCTGGATTACTGGAAGGGTTCGGAAGAACCGGTTAGCCGGATTACTGGAAGGGTTCGGAAGAACCGGTTAGGCGGATTACTGGAAGGGTTCGGAAGAACCGGTTAGCCGGATTACTGAAAGGGTTCGGAAGAACCGGTTAGCCGGATTTGAGTTTTGGAGGTGGGAAGTGCAGTGCTTGTGCTCCAAAGAATGGGAGAGGATGATTTGATCCTGAAGGTCGGAAATACAGTATCTGCACTCTGAAGGATGGGTGGTGTGGTTCTAGTGATGGAAGGTACAGTACCTGCACTCCAGAGGATAGGTGAGGAAGGTGTTTTTCTGGAGGTGGTAAGTACAATACCTACACTTGAAAGGATGGATGAGGATACTGTGGTTCTGGAGGTGAGATGTACAGTGCATGCACTCTGGACTATAGGTGGGAATGTTGTGGTTCTGGTGGTGGGAAATACAGTATCTGCACTCTGAAAGATGGAGTGAGTGATGATGAATGTAATTTCTTCTAATTGGGTTAATTTGTAGCTGACTGGAGAGAAAGCAAGAGAGAGAGAGAGAGAGAGAGAGAGAGATGGAGATGGAATAACGAGCTAAACAGGATTAGAATAATTAAAGATCTGGGAAGAATAAAGATGACATAAAAATCTCTGAGATGGCAGGAGTAGCTAGAAAGAAAGGAGGTGGAGAAGATGGAGGTGGAGAAGATGGAGGAGGTGGTGGAGGAGGAGGAGAAGGATGAGACAGAGCAGGAG